TCTCAGGGAGCAATGATTTGAATGCCTATTTCACTCCCCTAGTTTTTTTCTGAATTATGTGGAATTTTCTTTTTAGAGGCTTACTGGGACTGGACGTCTAGCGAGCTGGGACTATGTGAGCAGCAAAAGACTGTTAACCACTGATGATACAATGCATGTTACAAACCCAAATACTATCAGGAAAGAAAGGACTGCAACAGAAAGATACTATCAATTTCTAAGAAAATATCTCCTAAGTGCAATTATTACACTTTTACTGAAAGAAGTAACAAGCAGTTAAAGTCAAGATAGACATAAGTAAATTATTTAAAACAAGCACGAACTCACTTTTTCCTTCAGGCACTGTCACTAATTTATTTTTAGAGGAGAGTTCATGGATACAACCGCCTAGGCATCACACAGTTTCTAAGAAGAGAAGAAAATTTATATAATGGAAGCTAGACCAACAGGCATACAAAGATCAGAAGATTGTCCAGTTCCCCAAGGAAGGTGCATGCAATTAAAATTGTAGTTATCAAAAGTCAAGCTAAGAAGCAGGTTGGTTGGTTTTTTTTTTTTTAAAGCGAAGTAGTATAAGAAGGGAGTAAATTCACATGCCTGCCAGCAGGAACGTCAAAACAAAACTGAAATCACAAGTTGGTAAAGCAGCTGTTGCAATCACCAGATTTAACAGGCACAGGATATCAAAAAAATCTAGTTTCAAGCTGTAAAGTATAAATTCTGGTCTCAAATGCTGTTTCTGTTCCAATATGTGTAGCTGACAGACAGATCCACCAAAATCTCACACAAACTTCTTGATGCCTTTGAAAGCAAATGCTTCAGGTAAATTCTGTATATTAACATCATCTAAAATGCAGCATAAAGTCTGATAATCTATCACCCAAGATGTCTGGAAAAACACTGGGTATCTGCCACTGCCAATGATGGATGCAGTGCCTATATAGGAAGGGGAACTAAACCACCCTTTGTGTCCCCAAACTGGGTATTACCCCTGTCACGTCCCTGGGCGGCCATCCCAACAGCACCACACTGCAGGGAAGGCAACAGCATGATACACACCCTCTCTGCTACTGCGCAGTGTTGCAGTGACATTCCTCAGCTTTGGAGAAACCAGAGTTTGGAGCTTAAGCTGCCGGCAGTGCAACACCAGAAGGAACAAGGGCTAAAAGCTGCTCTAGCCCCGCTTTCTTCCATGAAAATGTGTATCTGCTTGCGGGACTGTCATTATACAGGTGAGAGAAGATAGAGCAGGACCAAAATACTTCCTTCTACACTATTTACAGAAGGAAAACTAAAGGAGTTTAAAACAAGAGGATATGAAAATCTCAGTACAGGACAGCAGCAATGAGTGAGTTGTCAAGTCCTCAAGGATGTCCAGTGGAACAGGAAAAAGTTATATATTCAGATAAAATCACACATCTCATGTGATATTCTACAGAAGCGTTCAACACAAACCTTACTCTGCTTCTTCTGAGGTGAGAAGGTATCTACCTTTTCTTCAGCAGAAACACGGCTTGATCATTACTAAGTGTTTCCAAAAAACTCTGTCTTAAAAAAAGATAAAACAGATGCTGTTCACACTGTGAAGAGAATGAAATTCAAATGCATGAGAAGGTGTCAAAAATTTCAAAATACTTAAGACTGTAGGGCTAACATTCATTCAAATCTTATTAATTTAAACCTCGGTTATGTAAATCCGAGATTATTTCTTCATACACTTGCCTACAAAGGAATAGGATCAGGCTTTCACTTTAGTCATGCAGGAGACAAACGTAAAATGTGCATCTTTTGGTGTGATTAGCAACAAAGACTAAGCACAGACAAAAAGGTTTCAGCCTTTAGCTACTAGATCTACCATCTTATTTCTGTGGCTGAGCTATAATTAACCTTTAGTCAGCCACCTCAATCATGAGAATAGATAATCATGGATTCTTTTTCTGTGAGCCCAGTCTTATCTTTATAAATCTTAGTAAAGATTCTCAGAATTTTCAAAGACGATAAATCAGACTGGGAGTGCAACCACCTTTATGGATCCTCTGAAGAATTTTAGATCAATCTGCAGGAATGATGCACTATATGCCACCACATGTAGCATAATATTTTATTTATAACAGGTCCCCTGAAGATACCAAGCTAAGATCATTGTCAAGTCCATTCACCATGTAAAAAAAAAAAAAGAAAAAAAAAAAGGCCTTTGCACATTTCATTACATGAAATGTAATGTATGTACTCATATGTAGTCCCAAAGAAAGGAGAGGCTTACAGTGATTTGAGTAAGATGCTATCTGTTCTAGTGGTGAGGGGCTCCATCACCACAGGGCACTAAATGCATGCAGAATAGCATGGGATGCACTGTTGAGTCTCACTACTTTTTTAATCAAAGCTTTGTCATATCATTTTTTCTGTCTCATGCCAAAGAGGAGTGTACCTGCATAGCTGTTCTTGCCTGTAGGTGTCTCTCAGAGGCACAGTGGGAGAGCAGCATAGTGAAAGTGGCCATGACACTAACACTGTGATGGTCCTCCTACGGCCTACTTGCAGCAGAAGCATAAAATAAGCTGTACTACAGTAGAGGAAGAAAATATAAAGAGGAAAGATGGAGGAGGGCTAAATACATCCTTCTAGTTTCCCCTCTCCTCTGCAGAACACAGCAAAGGCTCATGGCCACACTCACTGGTGACCCAAAAATGTATAGCAACCAGAAAAGCTCCCTTTAGCACCATTATTTCCGGTCCCACTGTGAGGCAGCAAATGGTTATCTATCACAACCATTTCATGGTCCCACTGTAAATTTAAATCCCTGTGACATTGAAAATCTTCCCTATAGTTCTCAGTTTATAACAGCAGTTATTCTCTGCTACAGACAGCACAACTACTGTATTAAAACTTTGCTCCTATTTTTTTCATTTCTCAACACAACAGGGTCAAAAGGAAAGGTCAAATATTTACCTTCTAAAGAGGCTTATTAGGCAACAATGTTAACATTTGTTAAAATATTTTATTTTTTTTACAAATACTTGGAAATTTTCAAAAACTACTTTCAGTCTTTCAAAATCCTCCAAAATCCTATTCTACTTCAGATACTATTGCCATGTACAAATACGTACAGTTATTTCAAGAAAATAAGCCCAACTGTTTGATTCCAGAACAAACATTGGTCTCTAACATTAATTCCTGTGCAGCAAGTACAACAGGAAAATAAAGCTATGACTACTAACTGGATTTTGTATCACATTCTAACATGCAACAACATGTATTTTATAACATTCACTTTCAACTCTATTTTCACCAGTACTACAGTGAGAAAAATCTTTCTTGTCTTTGTATAGATAAAAGCAGCTGGTAGAAGCTAACACAGCATCACTACTTTTAAATCAACCTAACCACCCTGCTTTTTGCTTCTCAGGTGTAGTTATATTCTCTGCCAAAGCCCACATGTACTGGGGTTTTCTCACAAAGGTCGTACCAAGCCTCATTTATAAAGTACTTTAACAGAGGAAAAAGCCAAAAAAACCCCCCAAAACCCCAACAGATAGAAAAGAAACTCTTTGTAAGTACTCATTTTTGTTCATTCAAGAATGGTTTTTCCTACTTGACTGAAGATAAGCATCAGACAATTTATGAGGATTTCTGTTCATTAACAGAAGTTAAGTAAAAGGTCTAAAACCAAAATCTTGAACCCTTTTAAATTTCGTGACTATTAACTCCCTAACCTAGCCCTGCCCCTAAATGAAAGGAACTCATTTTCCACGTTTAAGTCTAACTAGATTCTTCTAAACCCAAATGATTGCATAAGACTCCCATTCTTTCTGGAAAGTTTTCAAAATTTCCATATAGTTACATCTGAAACTCAGCCCTGAATTGTCACTGAGACCAGAGTCCAAATTTTATTAGCATCTAAACTTCACTTCCTTAGGTTTCAATACCTTTGCAAATACAGAATGAATATATCAACTAATTTCTCTTTTTAAGGATCACATAGCATACATCAAGACCCTAGAAACCCAGTCGTAAGTTAATTCTCAATTTCAGAATATTATTTAAGGCTGTATTATGGTGATAAAAAGCTTCCAATAGATTAAAAAAATGTACCTGCAACTGGAATTCAAACCTCCACTCTAATAAATATACTCAGTGAAACACTTTTGCATTAAATAATTTGACCCCACTGTAGTCGCCTCATGCTTGTTGCACGAGGCAATGCTAAGTCTACTCAATATTTATTTTCACTGTATAGTAAGAGCTTATGTTATACATTTTTAAACTATTATTTTTATATTAAACTTGTTAAGATTCCCAGAGAATTCTACAGCGGTACTGTCATAGCCATCACAGTTACAATTAAGCTGTGACTTAAGAAATTTATTATGTTGTCACTAACAAATCTCATTGCTAAGTGCTAGCTAGCTATTCTGACTTATTAGTCCACAGTGTCTCACACAGATTACTTGTTTGGGGTTTTTTAAGTAATTGTTTTGCTCTGGAAATAGGAACAGTTGACACTTTCCTAAATCAGAGACTTTCTACTTGGGAAGTAAAGTACCTCCATACTGAGACATTCCAAATGGCAAATGACAGCTACATAAACAAACATATGGCAAAGTAACATCAAATGGTCACTCGGAAATCTAAGATGTTCTTCTCTCAGGATTTTAAGTCTCTCTCATATTTAAGGAATTTCCTGTGTGGCATACTAACCAAATACACTCACTCTGACCTCAGAGAAATACTGCAATTTATTCAATATGTTGAAGAGACACTCCTTTTTTTTTTCCTTTGCAGAGGATATCAAGTATCTGTAGTGATAACTAGAGAGTGAGTAAACCGCTAAGAAATAATACTAGGTTGTTTGATAATCTCATGTTATCAAACAAGCAGAAAATACAAAAATATGTAAAAGGAGTTCTATAGTCAAATCTTGGGAAGAACAAAATATCAGAAACATACTCAAAGTCATCTAACATTAATCCTGATACAAATTAAGCTGAAGCATAACTTACTGGTAAAGTTCCTGGTAAAGAAGCATCAAAGAAAGATACCAAAGAGTTAGGAGGTGCTGCAAACTGGACTTGGGAACCAGAGAAAAGTTTTGAGTTGGAACTGATCTGTGCATGAATTTCAAGTCCCACAACTGGTTCCCATGGAGCAAGACTGAAAAGGAAAGAGGAGAAGGGAAATACAATTTAAGTACAGATAACATTAAACCCCATAAACATCTAAAAATACAAGAATTAAGAACTTTTCATTTATTAACAAAAATGAATTTGTAATTGTAAAAAAAAAATTGTAAATTATGTTGTAAATACACCTACACTGTAATGGCAAAAGTTGTGCTGCAATACTGTAGAACTAATTGACAATATATACGGAAGGTACTGTATGGCAAAGCATATTCATTACATACAGAAAAGAATGCCATAAAAAGAAATGTAATGGTCTGAAACTTTTAACTTTTCCTTACATGAGAAATCTTAGAGAAATTAATGAGGCAAACTTGCATGCTGGATGAACCCTAATTTGGTACCTCGTGAAAATCACAAAATCATCATAAATATCAATTACTTCTCAGGTAGTTAGATAAATGTCCAACAGACAGGTGGCATAATAAATTATGTATTCTTTGTCAGCTAGTCACTTGCATACTGGGAAAGGTGGCTCTCCAGAGCAGTGTTAGTAGCATATTAGCATAAACATTAGTAATCTGGTAATAGAGAAATCATCATTTCAACTAGAGAGCTACTGCTCTCCGAACATATTCCACAGAATAAAGCTTCTCCATATAATCTAAAAAGTAATTGCAATTCTCACATCCATAACCTTTATATGGACAAGAGAAAAAGGTCACCTTTACAGTATGAACTGCTGACAGTTTCTGTAAGTAATTATCTGGCCTTGTACAAATGAAGTGGCACAAATAGTATTTCTGTGATGAAATCACATTTCTATGGCAGACTACTTCAGCAGTGTAAGTACCCTGATATCTATAAGAGATAAGCGAGATATGGAAAAACATCAAATATATCAAGTACAGTGTTGCTTCCAAAGGTGAACATAACACATGGCCAAGATTTTAGTTCTCTGTTTGCCCTCCAACAGCTGAGGACATCCCTACAAACACCAAACTAGTGATGCAGATGCCACTTACATCACTGCTTTAGGAAGAAAAATATTATCATAAAGGATTAAGGTTTGGATGTTTAAAGGAGCTAACACATTTTTCTTTTACTGAAACATAATATTTTCTTTGGTATTTTCAACTACTCATAAAAATACCTCAAGGTTTAGGAAAAATAGTTGTTGGGTTTTTTTTATTTTGGAGGGCAATTTATTTCATTGTTCCTGAATTCTTTAGACATGCATCCTCATCACATCATGACATTAAAAATTATATCAGCCTTCACTTAATCAGCGAAGGCTTATACTCAGATAAGATATGTGCATCAGTCAGTCCTCGAGCCCTACTAACAACAGTGATAAGAAACCTGGAGTCTCCTGCCATGTTTGTTCAAGGTTTGCGTTTATTTGTGTCTCTAAAGAATCAGCAGCACAGTTCTGCCGGTGTCTGCAAAACTTCACTTAGGTGATCAGCTGTGCAGAGAGAAACCTGAATCTCACCAGAGAACATGAAATCGTATACAGGCTGTAACTTTCAG